AATTATAATTATTATTTATTACCAATCCCTCTTCTTCGAATTTAATTTGAAATTATTTTAATTTTATTAGCCCCAAAATATAAGAATATTGCATGTATCAAGTTATTCTAATTACGATGGTCGTTTAAATTATTAAAAGTGTAATGATGCTTCAGGTAATCCCGAAGAAAGACTTGATTTAACTGTCGCTAAGTTGTTATCGAACGAGATAAGTTTAAGTTAAATTACGAATCCTGTGAGATACCCTGCTTTGGGTCATATAGGTCGGGACCCTACAATTCGTTCCATGTAGGTTATTTTAGTCAAGATTGTATAAGGCATCTTATAGATTCGCAGGACTTTACAAATCACCTCAATCTACCTCTTATAGGTTAACTTGTTCAGGTTTACACGATACCCTATGTAACAAGACCTTCTAGGGTGGCCCGATCCGAATCTGAGGCGTTACATACTTGATCCAGTCCTGATCAAATTTTCCTTTTTGAGCCCTAACAGGGCAGCTAGATTGCCCAATCCGATTCGGATCACAACCCTACTCGTTTTCTGCTCGGGATGGGAGGACAGGTTCCCACTTCAGCCGTCCTTGGCAACTCCCGTTATGTAAGGGAGTAGCAAGAAAAGGATTAGGCCACGCATCCCATTTTGTGGGGCATTTCAAATTTTGACTAATTTTGCGTTACGTATATATGGACGACCCTATAAGTGAGGGTAATATACGACAAGAAATTGTATAGGAATCTATCTGTTTGATGCACAAGTGAAAATATTTGTTTCTGACCTTTGCATACCTGTGCAGAAAGGGTTGAAGGACATAAATGAGCTGTTGATCCATCGGTTGCTATCATTCGTTTATCAATAGCTATATTCTGGTTTGCAACCTTTCTTTTCAGTGGCACTGGAGGGTGATATTCAAGGCAGTGGTTTTCATATGTGTTTGATACAGTCATTGTATTAAATGGGCTTTAAAAATGGAACTTGTTACGTTTTCACACAAAAATTCAAAACTGCAATACTGTGGACGACTTTTTTGAAATTCCATGATAGGAATGAAGTGAATATACAAAAACTATGACATTTTGACTAACAATTTTTCAATTTCAGGGTTATTAAAACCAGCTTATGTCATAATATAATAAAAGTCAAATACTTAATTAAATTTAAGATCCCACACAGCTAGTAAAATCAATTAGGTAATTAAAAACATTGGACACTTTATTTAAAACATACATTACAATAAAAATGTAATTAGGTCTTTAAGGGTGAAGAAACAAATTTCACCGGACAAAAATTGTTCATTTCTTGTTATTTATTTATCGTATAATTTAAAATATTACATAACAAAAAATATCATAGGATAGGTCTTTTGTACTATAGAGTTTTTAGATGTTGGTCTTTAAAGGGACAGCTTCGAAAATGGTAAATGAATAACATCTTTTCCTCAGTTTCTACGTAGTATACGTCACTCAAACATTTGCGGTTTTTATTTACCCCAGCCCCAGCCTCCATGACCTCCATGACCTCCATACACTTTGACAACTCGTACCACATGATGATGGCCTAAAATACGAGCAATAATAATTACTTACACGATTGCCAATCGCATTACTTTTAAATATAGCGTTAACAAATAAAGCATGAGGTAGCAAAATTTGCTGTTTCCTTTGTTTTGCCTTTTACTGACGACACGACTTGAGACAGATCAATGTTCAAGTATTCCCGACAGAAACACATTTTTTTATTTTGTTTATTATCGTTCCAGTAGGTCTACTGTTGGCCTTGATAATGTACATTGAGCATTACTTTTATAGATTCACGCTCAAATTGGAAATGCGGTAATTATGGTTGATAAACCACATTTCCTCTACAAGTGACTACTGAAAACAAGGATGTAGCGTCTTTTAGCATTAAAGAGTAACGAAAATTATTTTTCAACCTTCACGGACATTCTCTTGCGAAATTGTAAAACATTTACAGTATCTGCCTAAATACCCCATAAACTCTATATAAGCTAAACATTAAAATATCAGCAAAACTTTAAAACTGATAACAAATAATTGATATAACAAAAGAAATCGTAAAATTACCTCCTCCGTAACCGTAACCTCCTCCGTATCCATGACCTCCACCATATCCAAAGCCACCTCCATGCCCAAAACCTCCTCCGTGTCCAAAACCTCCTCCGTGACCAAAACCTCCTCCGTGACCAAAACCTCCTCCGTGTCCAAAACCTCCTCCATGTCCAATTACACTAATAACACCTCCATGACCTCCTCCGTAACCATGGCCTCCTCCATAACCATAGCCATGTCCACCATGGCCGAGAAAACCAGCTTCAGGAAACAAAAATATAATTGTAACTATAACTTGTAAATAATATAGGATACATATGTATCTAAACCAGCACGGTTTTGTAATTTGATATTTTCTGGAAACATAAAGGCAATGTTGAATTGAAGAATTTTTGACCAAAATTTAATTAAATGAAATATGATTTATTAGAATTCAGTGGAATTTAAAGAGCTACAATATTTCAATAAATCTTAAAACAAGTGTACATATTTTGGTCCACCAAAATGTTTCAACATGATACAAAATAATAATAAATTCATATTTACTTAATATCTCAGATTAATAATAGTTGAAAAATGTCGCTTGAAATAATATGCGACCTATTTAATGTTGTCTACTTATATTTTAAATCAAAGGAGATTCTTAATTCGACTTTTTTTTCTGCCTTACTCGAGCCGATTTTAATGATTCTTTTTTTATTGAGAATGCCATATCTCAAGGGTGTGGTCCCATTTAAATTTAAGGAAAGTATTCCACCTTTTAGGGTGAAAAATTAGAGAGCGATTTCCATTTCTTACTTTTTAGTTTAAAGTTGTGATGCATAATTTAGGCATAGTATTGAAGTCTANGCGCCCACCGTCCATGTTTTGCACCCGTACAGCGCCGGGTTCCAAACATACACTTTTAACAACCTTTCTCAAATTTCTAAATTAACCATTCACGAGCACAGAAGTGACTTCTTTTTATTGAAGACGACCGGTCCTCGCACTATCCTCTGCTTTATATCCCTACTACCTCCTTCCGCCCTTATCTCACTTCCTATTTGATGTACTCAGTACGATAATGAATTTAAAAATTGCTAGGATAATAGTTTACTGAAGATTGTGAAAATGATGAGGCGGGGTAAAATAATCCTCAACAGTCAAAAATTACATTTATTAAAGATAACATTCGTCAACTAGAATGAATCAAATAAATCTGAGCTGTTTCATATTTTCATATTTTTGAGTGCCTGCTGTATATTGTAAATAATTTTCCAATTTTTCAATAAAAATGGGCAAATATTGTTTTCGAAACTATAAAGCTCATCAAATTTTAATATCGTGGATTAAAAAGAACAGACCATTTTTTTTTAACTAAATCATTTAATGGATAAAAATAAAATAACTCTCATTATAATTGATAAATCTTATTAACTTAAAGCTGTTGTTATAAAATGTAAAAAATTATATTCAGTCGTCATTGCAGTTATTAATTATTTTATTATGTTAAAACACCACCGTACACTTGTACCGTGCTTGAATAGAAAATTTGCAATTTTTTTCTTCTTCATCGTCATAAATGTCACCTAAGCATACACGTATCAACATAAAATCTTACAGATCACGAATTCAGACTTCGTTTAGTGTCTGCATTTTTTAAAAGTGAACGCGTTCTTGATTCCTTTCCAGGCTCTTTTAAAGGAACTGGTTCGTACTGTTACAATTTCCGGTTGTTGTAATTGTGGTACTCTACTATGCACCACATCGATTTCTGCAACATTTGACTGTCCCATGTCACACAAACTTGCTGGTAACTCGTCGAAATTAGGGATATGAAATATCTCCAATTCTGTTTCCGCTTCTAGGTAACTAGTCGATGACGGTCTTCTTTGAAAGTGCTCGTTGAAATAAAGAACTTTTACACCAGATTGATTACTATTGTAATTTATAAGCTGCAAAATTCGAGCCTGAAAAAAAAAAAGAATGAAAGCCGACTGCATCTTTGAATAACAAAAAATTAATATATTTTGATGTGTTTTCTGGTAATTATAAGAAAATATTACAAATAAAAGGTTCTAAATTTTTTAAGTTATGTATACTTCTTTCTTTTTACTATGCAACGGAAGTTGCGCGCGCACGGTAGATTGAAGTTTGCAACATAGTGAGTGCGACCGAGATGTTACGAAATATATTTAATATAAACACAACTCACGTCGACGATTTTACTTCATCGTAAAATTCTAAAATGTCAGCTGCACTAAGGAATCAAATAAAAGCAATACATTAAACATTAAGGAAATGAAAATATGCATGAATTAGCAAGAAAAAAGTCGTAACATTTTTTCACATAGTGCTGACGTGCAGTATAGATTTAGTGGATGTGCTAGCGCCGCGTATACATATTTCTGGATTTTACAGTGAATGGGAGTGGCTTGCGCTGGTGCTACGTATAGTAATTTAGTGGTAGCTGTACCAGCAGCTTTCCCCGCTTGAAAATTAGTTTGTAACTATAATAAGAGTCATATTTGATGAATTTGTGAATTAACTTCAACATATTACTGATAAATATATCCCGCGAACTTACTTAGAGGCCTTTTTAAGCTGTACAATTTTCCTATAGAAAGTATTCATATATCTCTTACTGTTATGGCAGCGTTCGTTCGAAACGCATTCGCTAGACCCTTTTTTCCGTCTCCACGAAAAACTCGTTTATTTTAATGAAATAATGTACAGGCTATGTCCACCCCGGAGCTTCGTTCTAAATACTGGCGAAAGAATTATTGTAGTAGAATTGGATGAGTAGTTTCGGAGTTTACCTCTTCATTCCAAACTTGTAATATTAGTGTAGATAATGCATTCCGATCAATAAAATAGGTAGCTTCCTATTATTAAATCTATAGTCAATTTAGTTTGCTAATAATTAATTTATAAATGTGGTATTTTTACAGCACATTTTTAAAACCTATTCTTATTCTGATAACAGTTGAATACTTACATCACTGATAATATCTCATTAATGTTTGTAATAATCAAGGAATAATCGACTTACCCGACAGTGGCTATTTAAAAACCTAATTAGAATATGAAGATTTTTTTTAACTTTTGATACGCACTGACTTCGATACAGTTTGAAAGGTACTGAGAATTAGGTCGACTTCCAAAACATGAACGCAGTTAAAAATAGTACATTACTCAAGGATAAATTTCATCTCTTATACATCCATTGTATGATCGCTACAAAATGTGAAGACCGTGTTTCATGAACCAGTCGTATGTAGGCGGAAGTTGAACAAAAAGGCTTAATTCAACTTAGCCTACTTTTAAACTCAGCGTTATTTGTATACAACCAAAGATATTTTTGGTCGAGGAAGCGATATTATTGGACTTGCTGAACTTGTTGCTAGTTTAAGTTTTAATACATATACAAATTTAAGTTTCATATGTTAGAAGTTAATAAAAAATTTCAATGTAATCACATCCCTTTTTAATCTATACATCGAAGACGCGATGAACATCATTAAAGGCAGTACAACTGTAGGGATAGATATACAAGGGCAAAAGATTAGTATGCTTAGGTTTGCAGACGATATAGCAGTATTAGCATCTAGCAAGGAGAACTTAGAGATAGCTTTAAATAAAATGGAATGACAATACAAACGAAAGTATTCGGAGATTCTGTTAAAAGTTTCTAACAATTTGCAATTTTATTCACAAGCTGTAATCACTCAGTGGCGTGTAAATTACTATTTCCTGAAGCTCCATAAGTCAACGTATTATACGTAAAATAAGAAAAGGATATGTTATTGTTATTGTAAATGTACTACTATCATACTAGGTCGGTTTGCACGGCTTCGAACGTCCCGACCGTTGCACCGCGCACCGTCGAACCGTTGCACCGCGCGAACTCCCAAACGTTGCACCGCGCAAAGGATGCGCGGTGCGTCGGTCGGAATCGAATGTGTCTGCCGTAATTCAAGCGCATCTGAGGGGTCCTGTTGTCGAAACTATATCCAAACTCAACATTGGAAACTTATTTTACACCCCAGCCGCCTTTTCGAGTCAATTAAAACCCTTCTAAGCTTTTAGGGACATCCGTCATGTACGTAGCTGAATGTGTCCGCTAAATTTTGAGATTTTTGCAAAAACATCACCTGCCAATTCGGACGACCCGTGGGTAGAGCGCGCGGTGCAACGGTCAAGTCTCACGC